TATTTCCACAGTTATAAGCAGGCTCTACTTTTTCACCATGCATTTTCTCATCGTATAATAATTATTACTACTATTTTTTAAAAAGTTAGCTCAGCTGGAGACAGTGTAACGTCTGAGTCAACAACGATAGTTGCAGCTGAGGCTGTCCATTTTATGCAGTGATTATCTGTAAAACATTGTAAATATTTGACAACACACAGAGACATAATATAGCATCCTTTGTCTGGACAGGAAGCAATGAAGTAGAACTTAGTGAAGTGTAAAACTAGGCCAATGAATAGCACAGAATTATTATGCATAGTACTGGAAGTCAGAAATGTAATGCATTTCTGTTCTGAGAGTAGCACCAGTGATGTTCTTAGAACAAGGCTATTTGGATGGCTATTGACATCTCTGTCTTAAAGAGCTCCGTTCCCTCGCCAGTAATCACAAGAGTAATGGATTTGATCTCAGCACTCCCCAAACATACTAAATGTGAAAGGTATGTAATGTGAAAACTGAATGCTTGTTTTAAATGCTATAGTTTGGTTCAGGCATTGTCTGAAGCCATAGATTAATGAAATTAACTATGGTTAGTGGAGTTGTCTTGAGTGCAGCCATTCTACTAAGTATGCTTAGATAGGGTCCATCAAACTAAGATCGGAAACCAGATTCTGAAGTCTTAACAATGGTTTTGTGTGTTAATTCTGGGTTATTCTATGGCAACACTTTCCCAGGCTACAGAGAGAAGGCAACGAAACTGACACGTTAAGGCAAACAAGGGTTTAATTGATTATCTGTGAACAGAATCCTGGTTTCACAAACTAGCCATAGTTAACAAAGGCCCCGGTCACACTGGGGGGGAAGCCATGGCTAAAGTGCGACTTTTTTGAGCCACATCAAAAGAGACGCGTGGCAGTGGGATCAGACAGATCCCCTGAGCTGCTGCACAGTTGCTCCCCAACACGATCAGATACCAGGGGGAGAAGCCACAGATCGGTGAGCGGAAGTCACAGATCGGTGAGCGGGGCAGCCCGCTGCACATGTGTGCGCCTATGCAGTTTGCCTGGGGGGCCTCGCATGCTGCTGTAGATGGGTGTGCCTGCGATCCCATGGCTGCCCCTACTGCGGATTTTCAGGTAAGTAGTAGTGTTTTGTGTGGGGGGGTTGATCCGCATCTTCGGCCAGATCGGGGACGGGTGCGCGCCACTTCCCAGATGTTGCAGTGTGATCGCACCCGCTTGCTGCACCCCCGATCTGTCCCTCTCACAGATCAAAGCCTCCCGTGTGACCGGGGCCATAGTTACTAGCCACAGTTAACAATGGCTTTGTATTATGTCTGAACTGAGCCTATGCCTGAGTTATACACTCACTTCGCTTATAACATGGAACTATGTCATTTTTTAAAACTATGGACAGTTTATGAAACAAGGATTCAGCTCACAGACACTCATTTCAATCCTAGTTTGCCTTGACAAATGCTAGTTTCATTGCATTTACTCTGGCCAAGTGTCACTGGGGAGTATGTGGGGGTGTTGATATGGAACAAGCTACTATCTAGCCAGGATGTCCATGGTTGTATATCTCATAAGTCTTTAGTTAAGACTGTGGTAAATAGATCAGCTTTGAACTTTGGTTTCAAAACCAAATCTGACAGACTGTAAGTTGACTGTATTCAGACAATATGCTAGCCATTGTTAGTTTAATTAAACTATGGTTTCACTTTATGCCATAGATTGACTTTATAATGAGCACTTTATTTGCATACTAACATAGCTTTCTGATGCATTATATACTATATGGAGAACAGACTGTCCAGAATACGGGCCATCTTAGATTAACTGCTCTAGGTAATGTTCTGTTAAAGAAAAGAAGATCTGCAGTTTCTCTATTTTGCACACAAAATTACACCACAATCTAGAAATAGGGCAGACTCAAAAGAAGCTGAAAATAATAAAGGAATCACTGTTTTCATGTTCTTCACCATCATTCTCTTCATCTACAACAGGATCTGAACTACAGCATTTTAACCTATTGTTCTCTGCTATTATTACATTACCCAAAATAGGGAGTCTCCAATTAGTTTGGGGGAATTAGCTTGGAAATGGAGCAAGAGGCAGGTAACTGAGATATCCACCTATGTATACCAGGATTTGTCCCTATGAGAACTCTCAGAAATAATCAGGCTGTTATTTACGGGAAGGGTTTTTATTGAATCAAAAAGAAAACAGAATAAAATGAGGATGCACACCGTAAACACTAGAGCTAACTAGGAGAATCAGGGAGGAAAGGGGAAAGCATTCTAGGGAAGGGTGATAATTACTGATCTTGAAGAGGTCTGCAGAAGCAGCAAAGTCAAAGGCCAGAATTTTGGGAAGCAAGAGAGAAAGGACCCACACACAAGTGGGGGTGTGAGGGCAATCCAAGAACACACACAAACTGCTGGGGCAGCAGGGTGATGTATTTATAGGGCAAAATGTATCCTGAGGCAGGTTGACTCACTGCCAGAGGACAATGAGATGATGGTTCTACCGGAAGTAGAGGTGGGAGAGGTTTGGTGGCCCTACAAGCACCAGATGGGAAAGGTGAATAGACTTAAATGTTGATTAATTGCCTCTTAATCAAGGATAATGGGTGAAGGGAAGCCATGCTTGAGTGCTGAAGGGATTATTCCTGAATCTCTTAAACAAGGATAATGGGTGAAGGGAAGCCAGGCTTGAGTGCTGAAGGGATTATTCCTGAATATAAGGGTGACCCATTGTTCTGAGTTATGCATCTCTCCAGGGCAAGGAGGGGCGGGTGACCCATTGTTCTATGCATCTCTCCAGGGCAAGGAGGGATAGTAGCCAGCCAGCCCCTCTGACTCACACCTTGAAAACTGCTTCCCCAGCCCTCTGCCTGACTGGCATCGCTTTTGGTCCACTTTGGCTCAAGCAGTGCCCTGTACTTAAGGTATCGGGGTGATGTATAGATGGGTGTTTCTGGCTTAGTAGCCTAGAAACTGCCCCTCAGTGGGAGGAGGGATCTGACTACTAACAAGTATTACTATTATTATATTTAGCATGAATAATAATTTGTTTCTAAACCGCTCCTTGTACAGCTGGAATCATTACTTGGAATGACTGGCTTTTTCCATGAAACCATGTATGGAATAGCACAGACCCTTCATGTAATTCCTTATTGTCTGACAATCATCACAAATGACTTCTATGTGAGAAATTCAGTGTCACCTTGTGGTGAAGAAAGTCACTAAATCATTCAATTTTGAACAGTTGTTGCTGTGGTACTAATATATTTCAGGACTCCACAAGTGCCTAATGAAAACCCCTGCAAATGAGGAAATAGCCCCAATTGTGACACATGATGGATTTCTTGTTTTTTATTTCTTCCTCATAAACTATTCTTTCTAAAAAGGCCTTCTACTAAAATTTAGATTGCCCTGTGTGGCATTGTTGAGATTAAAGTGCCAAGGCTGAACATAAAGGGCAAGGAAGGACACATATTTGCATTCTGATTCTTAAACAACACAATGAGCAGGCTATTAAACAACAAAAAGTAATATATAAGAGGTAAAGGGAAAGGGAAATGTGTGAGGTAGCAGTATATTGGCCTGGCCTAAGCAATGAGAACGTGGCTTGAACAGGGAGAACATAGTAGCTGTATTTGAATAGTAATAAGTTGTGGCTGCTGGCAAACCTCTGTGGACTTCCAACTGGAGTGTTTTGTTTTTAGGGCCGTAAGATGGAAGATTTCTCAAGGAATTGAGGTTTCTGGCACAGCGGATGGTACTGCTTCCATCATGCCTGGCATTTAACACTTTGGTTGTGATCCAGCCAAGTCCAGTTGGTTCCACATGGTTATCTATCCCACTGGAATCAATACAATATGTAGCCCAATCCTACCTCTGTTTGCAGTGAAATAAATACCACACAGTTAGTGTTACTTCCACAGAAGTATGTTTAGGATTGCAATTTAGGTTTGGCTGGATTGAACCTCAAAGGACAATCTCCTTCCGTACTATCTGGCCCACTAGTTAAGACCTGCTTCTCAAGCCCTGCTTTCTGTGCCCCTCCTGCCTTCAGAGGCACGTAGGGGGGTAGCAACTAGAGACAGGGCATTTTCTATGGTAGCACCTCACTCTTTGAAGCCCCTCCCCTCTGAGGCTTGCCTACTTTCCAGCACCAGGCCAAAATACATCTTTTTATCCAGGGTTTTAATTAGGGGTTTTAACCTTCTCAGCTTCATTTGATCTGCTTTTATCAGCTCTGCTTCTGTTTCATGGATAGTTTTATGCTGCTTATGTCAAATGACTTGTTTTTTAAACTTTGGTTTTTATATTGTGGTTAGTAGAACCCTGGTGTTCTTTACAAGCCTACCAGAGTCTTTTCACTGAAAAGATCAGTGATGGCAGACATGTTTCCCTGAAAGACGTTTCCTAAACTTCCTCAAAGAAGACATGATAATCTTTCCTTGCAACGTTCAGCTTCTGGAGAATGTTAGGTTTGTTGCAGGATGCCAGGCCAGCAATTGATAGAACAGACACCCCACCACCCCACCCCCATGATGGACTACAACATGTTGAAGTTGCTCAGAAGAGAAACTGATGTGGAAACAGAGCGCACTGAAAGTTTGAAAAGTGTCGCTACAAAGAAAAAGACTGAACTCTGGGCAGCCTGTATAATTCACATGCTTGATGCTTTTACCCATAGCCTGTCAGATGTTCCAGACTGCCTCTGGATAGACAGAAAGGAAACAAGAGACAGAAAGCAAAGCTGGTCATGTGCAGGTTCTAAAGAGGCATGGAGCAATGTGTCAAGACAGACATAAGCGTGCCCATTCCCAAGCAATCTGCGGTATCCTTTGAAATGTGAAAACTATACAATTCAATAAGTTCCTTGCAAGAGATATTCCTAGTGGATTGTACCCAAAACTTCTGTCTCCCAGTGTAATTCCAGAAATGTATACATAGACACAAACTCCTCTCTCTCTCTTTCTCCCCCCCCTTCCCCATTTTTACTTAGGTAAAAATGCAAAGAATTTTTCGTGCCCTGAAGGAAGATTTGAACAACTGCACTGATCTGCCAGATCCTTCTATCAGTTACTTTGGCTTAGAACACAGGAGTCGTCACCTCATTGCATCAAATATGTAGCCATTTTTTCTCTCTATTCTTTGTGGAGTTCTGAGTACCTGACTGAAACAGTTAGAATTCACAGGTACAAAAAGAAATTTTCCATACAGGTAGGGTACAAAGCAATGCAGAGCAAGCCTTACGTAGAGTGCCTGACGTTGGCATTTGCATTGGGAAAAGCTCATTCAAGCAATGAGCTGAAGATGAAGTATACAGTTTTACCTGATGCCCCCTTTCTACTGCAGAACCCTACACTGTGGTACATTTTGTTTGTTTGTGACAGGATCATGCTCATTTTTTAAAAAATCACAAAAAGATGAACATATGGGGAAGGGCACGTCATTCATCATAGTGACATCACATACAATCAATCCAATTGATAGGTATAGTACTCATAATAGCTCAATATTGCAATAGAAGAGGTAGCTGGGGTAGAGATGGTGGAGAATCATGCATTCAACCAAGCAACAAGATAACGTTGTTTAAGCAGTGAGAAAATATGATACCCTTGCAAGAGAAGTAATACCTTCCAAAACTCATTTGGAACTTTTATAACGGCTGTATGTCTATTTTGTGAGCAAAATAAGCTGCAAAAACTTTCAGTCCTTGGCATGAAATGAAGAAATAGCTTTAGAATGTCTAAGACGTCATCTGGGATTAATTTAGGGTTGCCAACTCTGTGCTGGGAAATTCCGGGATATTTGGGGGTGGGGCTCGGGGACAGCAGAGCTTGGGGAAGGCAGAGACCTCAGTGAGGTAGAATACCGCTGAGTTCGCTGTCCAAAGCTGTCATTTGCTCCTGGGGAACTGATCTCTGTCATCTGGAGATCAGTTGTAATTCCAATCAACGTTTGGAGGCTGGCAAACCTAGATTAATTTTGCCTACAGTTTCCAAGCTCAAGGGATGTTCAAAAAGGTGACGTGAAGTTTGAAATGTGACATTTGTTGTAGGAATTCTAGTGGAGAAGATTGTAGTGTAAAAAATGAAGTGAGACATACGTACCTTTTCTCTCTCTCTACAGAAGGACCTCTCTCTAGACCACATTGGTGGTTCTGCCGTCAGGTACTAGGATGACCAGGCTGCTTGATGAGCTCACTCTGGAGCAGGCCACATAGAACTGTCCATTTAAGAAGCAGTCATTTGTTAACTCAATTCTTTTTCTCTTTTTTTGTCCCCCGTAGGGGATTTTTTAATTGCATTTTCTATAAACTACAAAGAAACAAAGAAAGGTAACGACAAACTACAGGTGAAAGTAAAGAAAAACCACTAAAAACCACTAAAAATGCTTACAAAATTAGCTTCTAGTTAAATAAGCTAGAGAGAGGTCCTTCGGTAGAGAGAGAAAAAGTACGTATGTCTCACTTCATTTTTTACACTACTTCTCCACTAGAATTCCTACAACAAATGTCCCATTTCAAACTTCACATCATCAGTATTATATAACTGGATTTATGGAATTTAAATACCGTAGTGAAGCACAGGTATCAGGCTAGGAAAAAAATACAAATAAAACTTGATCCAAATGCCAATAAAATGCTTGCACTGATACTAGAGCATGAAGGCCAAAGCTAATTTACCATTCATTCTTTTTGTGCATTGCACACAGTGACAAGACAAGTGCTTATAATTTGCACTCGGTACTTAAGGCTTTAAAGATGCAAAAATGCTCAAATGTTTATTGCAGGAGCCAGAAGATTTACCCCAATTCTTTGTGCATTTCCTGAATTAATGAGCCTTTGGCCTCAAGGCCGGCAATGAGAATCAAACAATCTCATGTTTAACATTAAACTCAGCTCTCTGCTATATTTAACTACTCTTCTCTTGTTTATATTCATGATCCAGTACTCAGAATTTTAGAACCAGTATAAATAGGATGCTACACACTCAAAACAGTTTGAGGTAAATGCATAATGTGAATTCCTTGTATGTTTCCCCATTTAGATATTAGTTATCTACTGTTATCTGCTCAGACGCACACATATACACACAGCTGTTGCCTCATTTGATTTATGAAAAGTATCCATCTGGCTTATCTGTAAAGCTTATGTGCATGTTTATGAGTTCTTGTGCTAACTGAAAAGATGAGATTTCCCCCCTTTAGGTTGGGCAGAGATATTAGTTTGCTGGTTGCTAGAAGGATACTGGCAAATCCCCCCAAAAAATAAATATTTGTGGAAATCATGGCATGTCCATGTATGTTGACTTGTTCTGATAATTTGATGTTCATCATTTCCAAGAGGTCAGTAGGTATAAAGGTAAAGGTTTCCTTTGCTCGAAAGCCGGTCGAATCAGACTCTAGGGGGCGGTGCTCATCTCCGTTTCAAAGCCGAAGAGCCAGCACTGTCCGAAGACTTCTCCATGGTCATGTGGCCGGCGTGACTAAACGCCAAGGCACACGGAACGCAGTTACCTTCCCACCAAAGTGGTACCTATTTACCTACTTGCAATTTCTTGCTTTCGAACTGCTAGGTTGGCAGGAGCTGGGACCAGAGACGGGAGCTGACTCCATCATGTAGTGCCAGGGTCTCGAACTGCTAAGCTCTGACCTTCTGGTCTTCAGCTCCTGTGTTAAAAAGGCTGAAAATGTTTGGATGGGTTTGCATTTCCCGAAGTAAGAGCACAGATAAATAATAGCTCTGTGCCACTAACTAAAAGTGTGTGTGTGCGCGCAAACAAAAGTTCTGGAAGTTGTTCTCTTTCTCATCTGTTTATTATTACTTTAGTATATTGCCCTTCCTCTCAGGAGCGAAGGTAGAATAAACCCTAGTAATAACCAACCTATGATGTAAATTAGTTTAATAGCAACTGGTTCAGTATCACCAGTGAGCTTCGTGGCTGCACGGAAACTTAAACTGAAGTCTTCCTTGGTTGTTAGTTTTCAACAGATTGGGTCCAGATTCCCTGAACTAGACTCCACAGTAGGGTTACCAGGTGAGGCTGTGGGAGAGGGGAGGGAGGCTCCAAGAGAGGGAACTCAGAAGCAAGTTCTGGGTGAGCTGCCGTCACATTTAAAGGGGCTGCATTCATTTTAAATGCTTTCCCTCCATTGGAAATAATGGAGGAGGGGGATGCATTATTTTGGGGCACATAGAATTGGACCCTCTGGTCCAATCTATTTGCAACTTGGGGAGTTTTTTGAGGAGAGGTACCAGCAGCTATTCCCGCCAACCTAGCAGTTCGAAAGCAAGAAACTGCAAGTAGATAAATAGGTACTGCTTCGGTGGGGAGGTAACAGCGTCCCATGTACCTTGGCGTTTAGTCATGCTGACCACATGACCATGGAAAAATCTTTGGACAACGCTGGCTCTTTGGCTTGGAAACGGAGATGAGCACTACCCCCTAGAGTCTGATTTGACTGGCTTTTGAGCAAGGGAAACCTTACCAGCAGCTATGCTGAAAATTTGCTGCCTCTGCCTCAAAAAACAGGGGGGCCCAAGCTCCAGATACCCATGGATTGCTTTTCCATTATACCCTATGGTTTTCCATTATACCCTATGGGCCCCCAGCAGCTATTCCCCCGCGCGCGCTTTCTGATAGCCCTGAAGGGTGGAGGAGCTCCAAACTGGGGGATCCCCTGCCCCCAACTGGGGATCGGCAACTGTACTCCACAGGCACACAGAAGCTGCAGGGGACTGCTTTTTAGCGGATCACAGGGGCCTGGTTTGGCTTAGGACTGCAGTGGGGGAGGAGGGTCTGCTGTCTTTCCTGAGCTGAATCAACCCGGAGGGGAAACTTATTTGCCCACTTTGGAGCTGCAGCTCCATGTAGGAAACATGTCACAAAATGGTTTTGTTCAGGGCTGGAAGAAGCATGCTGCCTGTCAATCCAGAGAAAGGATGCAGACAGGTGTCAGTGCAAAAAGCAAGAGTAGCATTGTAGATGCTGGCTGAGCCATGATGGAGAACTGTCTGCAGAGAAAACTCGATGGAGAGATGTCTGCAGAAGAGGAGGAGGAGATTGGATTTATACCCCGCCCTTCGCTACGCAAGGGAGTCTCAGAGCGGCTTACAAACTCCTTTCCCTTCCCCTCCCCACAACAGACACCTTGTGAGGTAAGTGGGGCTGAGAGAACTCCTTCAAGAACTGCTCTTTTTCAAGAGCAGCTGTGCAAGAACTATGGCTTGCCCAAGGTCATCCAGCCAGGTGCAAGTGGAGGAGTGGGGAATCAAACCCGGTTCTCCCAGATTAGAGTCCGCGCACTTAACCACTACACCAAACTGGCACAAGGGGTGCAAGGTATCTGTCTCTTTCTTTCTCTGGGGATCTGATACAGGGTGGTGGATGTACTGCCCTGTATGAGTGCCTGTTTGCCTCCACCACCTGTTCTTTTGTTAAATAAAGTACATATTACAATGACACCATAAACCTTCAAAGATAGCCAGCTAAGCTAAACACTAACTCCTAGAACATCAACAATTACTGCTGCTACTACTAGTAGTGCTACTGCTAATAGTAAAGTTTATGAACGCAACTACAAAAAACACAGAAATTAGTTCACTGTTTTAAAGCATGCTTATATAATACTTTGCAAGTTAACACTTTTAACAGTTCTTATATTATTCCCCGAGGCAAATCTTAGTAAATCAAACTGGTTAACATACTAAACATTCCTAATTTCAACAACAGCGTTCAATATATACCTAGCTTTGTTCCATTTCATGCCTTTGCAGGGCTTGAAGTCTAACATACAAACACACACATAGAAACATTCTCCAGTTACTCACTTTCTTGAGGGCCTAAATTCTTCTTCCAATACCTTGTGAATACCAGATAAGCTGCAGCTATCATTTAGAAATACCACCTGGTATTGTTTTGGCAGCTCTTCAACACAGTTCAAAATGAAAGAATCAGGAGATCATGGCACCATATTATAACTGCCAGCAATTTCCTTCCTACTGGCCTCCAAAATTGTTGAACCCTAGGGCAATGCTACCACATGTGTGAGAACAATGTGTTACCCCCCCTTACAGTGCCAGCAATTACTAGTAACTTTGAGAAGTAAACACATAGTACCAGCAAT